TATACAATCATATTTAAATGTATATATATGATGTTGAGATTTAATGCGATAAATGATGTGAAACAAAATTGTTAGCACATTATATAATTACGTCTAATATACATGTAAAATTAGATTTGATTTACATGTTGCAAGGAAATACTTTAAACACTAAATAAACATTCATAAGATATTAGCAAACTCTATTTCATTTTTTTCTCAAAGTTTTTAACTACAGCGTAAAAGTGATAACTGCAAGTCTCTCAATGTTATTCAAAGGAATGGTAGACTTCTGGAACCAAATCATGCAAGGAATTTACGAATAATAACCATTATCACTGTTTTGATAATTATGTTATCACTATACCAATCAAATTCCAAAAATTCCAAATACTGGTGCAGAGATGAAAGATGAATGAAGCATCAGATTTTGACTAATGGACCTGCAAACAGTAATTCAAACACTTCAGATACATCACAAAGATTCTAATACATTATTTCGTTCATTACGATAAATTTTTGCTGTAATACTTGTTCACCTGCAAACAGTAATTCACGCGAACTTCTTAAAGGTGTGAAACTTGATCCTATCACAGACAGTCTCCTACTGCTTTCTAAGCACTAGTATTCCTATTTTCTTTACTTTAATAGCGAAAGCTGACAAGCTTCTCCATCCACTCAAGATTATTAAAAACCACCTCACCACTCGGACTCTCAATTCATATTTCTTAAATTTTTAACATTTCCTGCGACTGGGAATTCCTGTATCTTTCTGACACTAAACATGACAGATGTCACGAATCACATTGATGAACTGCAATGTAAGCATTCCCGAGATCTTTCACTTCGTATAAAAATACCTATCCTTACTAGCTGCTTCAGTGCCCACAGCTCAACGAAATATCTCATCCTGTTTCATACAGCAAAACTCCGTCACCCCACGTCCGTAACTTCCCATTTTGCTGTTGTAGGTCAAATGTATGTGCAAGTCCCATTCTTTACTCTCATTGCAGAGCACCTACCATCCTGCTCCATTAGTATTTTCTAGTCCTAGAGTTCTGAAACAAATCCGGCTAGTGTAAAAAGCAGTTTCATCGAAGGAAGACTACTCACTCATTAGGAACAAAATACACCATCTCATTCAGCACACATATATATCATTGAATGAGACAGTGATTTTTCTAAATATGTTTCCCATGTATTACAGATGTGAGAAAAGCTGGCATGCGTAACTGGAAAAATCTATTGTTTATGAAGGACTGAAATGCATAAAAATTTGTACCAAGATCTTTTTGCACGATACTATATTGTAGTTGAGTTAAGAGAATTTGGAAGCTTGAACAGATATTTTTCCTCTACTAAAATAGCTTTACATCTCACTGCAAAAACAGCTCTTCATAGTATAATAAAAAGTAGCAGTAATCACAATTAGAAATTAATCAGGGAACCATGAGTTTTGACTTTAGTACCACAATTCACATACCAAGAAACAAATTTACAAGAAAACATAAAAATTCATCATAAGTTTACAGCCATCAACAAGGAGAAGTACATTAGAACAATACCACATTTAGATTGATGGTATATTTTTTGGATAGATCAGAAATACATTATGAGTAAAGAAGTAAATGAAATATCATCTAAGACAATAACTCATAAATATTTCCAAGACGTATGCAAATTTGAAGTTTGATGATTCAAAAACAAAGAGATTACTTAAACTGAAACACAATTTTGGCAGAAAAAACGGAGCAAGTTATGACTTTATTACTGCTCTCTCACCATTTGATACAGCGGTTCAGTTCTTCGTCTCAATTTTGCTTCTGATTTCCATCTGCACCGCTTTTAAATCATTATATACATGAGGTAGATCTGTTAAAATAGGAACCTGAAAAACTGATTTAGAATTTCATGCCAATGTCAACTTGTTTAAGAAAAAATGCAACAATAATTTGTAAGTGTTTCTGAGATATAAATTAAAATGTTATCGACCGTACTAAAACCAATGTTTTTGAGAATAGATTATAAGATTACGAATATGTTGATAAAATGAAGAAACACGAAAAAAATAGAAACTTTTAGTGAGTTGACCAAATACAGCATTTGAAGCGGATCGTTGACCGTCCACGCAACTACTTGTATATTCAAATCCTTCATTCTTTTTACCAAACCACTACAATGTAATTACATCTTCATCTCTTAAAAATTTAGAAATTATTTTCGATCATGCTCAAAAATAATTATTCTTAGAATGAATCTCCGACCGATGTCTGACTGATTTACGGAACTTTCACACATTGAAAATTCCCTTTACACACCAATATATACATCATGCAGACTATAATCGTACTTTGATATTTCTTTTTCGTAAATCAGTAGCATCTCAACACCAAGAAACTTCGGTAGAAAACCATCCATCAATTTCCGATTCACATGATCCAACAATAATGCCACGAAATGTTTCAAACCAGAAAACCGTGGAATTTCACAATCCAAATCCTTGTAAGCTATCAAATATGGACGCCATGTCACACCTAAATATAAAATGTACAAAATCATACAAAGTAATGGGTTCCTTTAAACACGATTTTCGTTCCAATAACTAAATGAAACAGTACATATACCCCTTGTTTTAACTGTGATGCATACTTAATGTGCTCAAGACCACATACTTCATTCCAAATGCTTATTCTATGAACACATGTTTTCCTAGACTGAATCGCTACAAACTAAAAGACTTACCGGTCAATATTTGTGGATCAGCTTTCTTGATTGCATACGAAACCCAAGGGAAAAATGAAGAAACGATCACATTATTATAAAGATTGTTAGCTGATATCACGGATGCAATCTGAGAGACCATCTGTAATCAACAATTTATAATTTGACAGTTCTTACATAAAATGTGAATTAGACACAAACACATGTTTATAATAAATAATTGTAAATTACAACTAAATAGAATAAAAACAGTTTAGTATTTACATTAGGTGTAACACGAGAAAGAGTGGTAATAGGCAACAAAATTGATGAAAGCAAAACACCTCAAAGCTGCTATTTTTCACGTCAAAAAGCATCTTCAAGTCATTATCCTGACAATATTTGACAGTCGACTCCAAAGTTGGTATGTGGTAGAATTTCGAACACGTTTCATTATCCGAAGCGCTGTAATGAAGGATTAGTCAATAGAGAAATTGCTAGAGAAGCTGTGGACCTTGAGGAGTTTTTGACACGCTAAAGATGCAGGTATCAAAGACAATAACAGCCATGCAATGTTAGGTAGAAATTAGTACGAGAACATCGTAACATCACTTACTATTCGGACAATTCGTTCTGTCCATGTAGCATATTTCCAAGTGGTTTTGCAGTTATATGCTGAACACGACCATGCTTACCAACTGTAAAACCAATCTACCTGCATGCTGAACGGACGGTGCTGAGATGGTTTTTCAACTGACTTTCTGAATTGACCATTTTCAAACTATTCATTCTACTTCAGGTAGGTTCACCGATTGATTAAGCAAAACACCTTTTCGGTAGAATGAAGCCATGAAACCGCTCCAATTAGAACAAAGATGAGACTCACTTCAATGGCTGAAATGTTTTCCCAGCATTCTTCGCACCAAGTTCTTCCAGCGTAAGAGACGAAACTAAACCCGGCTCCCCACATGTCCTCATCAAATCATCATCATGTATAACCACCGGAATACCATTTTTAGTCAGAGTTAAATCAAATTCTACCAAGTCCACACCAGACGATTTTGCCTGAAAAAATTGAAAAAATATAAAATGAAGAAAGATTAGATAATGTATTCCAATAATGTTTAAATGATATTTAATGACGGTATATAACCTTCTCGAATGATTCAATCGTGTTTTCAGGAGCAACTCTGGGAGCACCTCGATGTCCGCCTACTCGAAAGTTTTCGAAGAATTTGACAGCCTAAAAAAACTATGTGTTCCAGTTTCCAAAACGAAAATAATGTAGTCAACAGATCTGAAAACCAACCACTAACATTAACAAAATCTGCTAGCTGATAATCCCACATGAATTATTTAGAAGAATATAGTCGACTGTGTGAACACAGAAAAAAAGATCATGTAGTTTAAATGTAGTATTGGAACCAGATAAACGCATGATCTGTTTATGTTTCACTATATTTAGAACTAAAAAAATGATCAAAAACATACAGCAGATGCATTAGAACGAAGACCAAAAATGCGTTGCAAATGGTTCATGAAGGGCAGTGCAATTAATAATGACAGTGCCTGGAATACAGGACGTAAAAATCGTATCAGAATCAGAGTACCAGAAACAGCTACAAATATACCCAAGGTATAATGGTCAATATCCATAGTTAATAGGTGATCCTGAAAAAATGCCGCTATTTTCTCCTAGCTTTTTCTACAACCCACATCGCTTCTCTATCCAAATACTGCGCGATATTTAAAGGATACAGGATATTCAAAATCAATTACAGAAATGCGAGACATAAACAAATTATATGACACAATATGAGACGAGACGAAGCACAACCGCTCTGTGCCTGAAAATCGTTCGACATTCGATTAAGAGCAGTTTATTTGGACTGAATTATGTTTACGTTGCTTTATGTGACAAAGGCGTGATTTGTTGATTGTTTGAAGAAATTGTTATGAAAATATCATGTCGCCACTAGTTGCACACTTGACTGCATTTCTTTGCACATTGTTAGAAGAGTTATTGAGGCAGATTTTCGTGGTGCTCAAAAGCATTTCTTTTGCAACATATTGTAGTTAGCATTCATAATTGACAAAATGTGAAAAAAAAATGCAGAAAATAAAGATGGCAAAGTGAAGTTTAGTTAGTTAAGAATCATTTCTTAGTTTCGTTTGCGTTTTTACGTGTTTTCTAGACTTAGAAATCACTGAGGTTGATGAAATAAAAATTTCCAATCTGAAATATGTTGTTCACTTACATAATATAAAACATCAATATGTTGAAGTGTGTTAACAGCTGAAGCGTATGTGAGAAAAGAGGTAGCAGAATTTGGCAAAGAAAAGTGATAAAATTCATTTCACCATCACTTCCCAAATTTACAACAACAAGATTTGACCTTTCATCTTAAAATTTCTTAGTGCTAAGAGAAAGTTCTGTATATATTCTGATTGTATATATATATCAGAATTATCCACATTTATTTGATGATTTCATTAGAAATCCCAAAATTTGTATGCATCAGTTAAAATTGTTTCTACCCCAAAGATTGAATATATAATTGACTACCTTAATATTTGAATTAAAAGAAGATTAGAGAAAGATTTGTGAAAGTTTTCAATGAGGATGAAATTTTGTCAAGATTTTTAATACCATCTCGTTTTTTCTTGTCTTTTTTTGCTGCCCTAAGGATAGAGTGATGATCGCTTTTCATCTCTCTGCGCGGATCTCTTTTTTTCAACTGGTTTTTTGCTTGAATCAACCCACCCTCCCCAAACATATCAACTAATTACTGATTCGATAACGGCGAATGCCAATATTACTTTACTCATACCTCTCACTAAGTATACACTTTTCATTTGAATAGTTTTTTTTCCCGAAAAAAATTTTTGTCCCCATTTTTGCTTTTCTATAAATTTCATTGTCGGCAAGAGTAGTATAGAGAGGTTACATTTAAATAGTTTATTTCATTCTGAGGTTAAGTACATCTTGTTAAATTAATTAATTCTCCATATTACTAGATAAATACTGAAGCAATAATTTGAGGTACTTAATTACTGATTTGTGATTGACTATCAAATCCAAGTCTGTCCACAGTACAAAAGTGATTGAGCGTGGAAAAGAGAAGCATTAAGTATGCAAAAAAAGGTAGGTGCTGAAATTTCGGTAGAACAAGAAATGATTGGCATTTAATTTGATACTTAATTAGCTCGTTTGGAATGAATGATACATTCTTTTAATTTTGTTATCAAAAAAATAGTTCTGCAGTCAGTTCCATGAGTACTACTTATGGAACTGACTGCAGAACTATTTTTTAGTACTACGAGATTTTGTTGGCACAAAAGCATAGTTTTGATGTATGCAGTCTTTTTCGGACCAAATTAATTTAATTAAAAAAAGTTATAATTTATTATTTTTGCTCTCAATATTTTATTCATTAGAATTTTGCTGCAAATAACTTGATATTCTTTAGGTATTTTTCGTTTGCACTCAGCAAAACCATAAATAACTACCAGTAATAAAATTTGCAGTCCTTTTAATTCATACATTTCTTTAATAGGATCACTATTTTTGTGTCAAAGAAATAAGGAAATAGAAATAGTTATTTAATTCAAAATTATTATTACAGATCAAAATAAATTGTTGATTGTTAAATTGCAAATTTTACATTAAGAGCACGTTATTTGTATAAATTTTGTATTTTTTCTAAAGTGTGTTAGACTTTGTATGTTTTTTGAGATAACTCAAGTACAGCCATTTTTCAACACCTTTTCTAGAATTCACTGCTAGTAATACATAAGAGACAGCAATAATTTGTTCCCATTACCAAATGATTATTTTGGATTTACTTATAACTTGTTTAACATGAGTTTAAAAAATTTTGAAGAGAATATGTACTAGCAACTGTAAAAATTCAGAATGATGTAAAATTAATAGCTGAATATTATTTATCTCGTGACTTTAAACACACATGTAATCTTTAACAATTAAAGATATAGAACAGTTTCTTACGATGTATTCAACCAATCAAAGGATACAGTGTAAAGTCAAAGTCGAGTACTGAGCTTATTGAACTAATTTGGTTTCTTCAATTTCAAAATATTAAACATCTGCACGAGTGAGATAGCTATATTAGCTTTCGCTTTTAAAAATAATTCTCGAATTATCTCGTAAATGCAAAATTTTAGCCAATATCTAACTTTACTTATTATTGTGCTTATTATTATACCCAGTATAAGTGTTTGTTCAAATATATACGTCCAGAGTAATTTGCGCCATGTTTGAAAGCATTTTTCATTTGTGTGTGATTAGTTATTAAGATTTTAAGCAGGTCTTTGTCATGCATTATGAATTATTCAAAACCATTTTGCGCCTCCAGAATTACTTGATATTGTAATTTTTAACTTTCAGTAACATTTTGTCAGAGCTTTTTTTTGAAATTTATTTATAATCACTTTAACATGAAATTAAGTCAAATATTTTGGAAGAAGCATGCATCAAGTTAAAAAGCTGAAATTATTTCGAAGCGGAAATGTTTTAACTTTCATACCTTAAGAAAATTTTCAAGTATTTCAAGTATCTATAATTGCTAGTGTATAGTGTAGAGAATGAATTTGTCCTGGCAAGAAATTATACTCTTTCCAAGTAAAAAATTGATAGTTACTTTGCAAAGAATAGAAAAAAGCATAATTTATAACCCAATAATCACCTGTTTTTGTAGTATATCTTTTATTCAGTTACACTCATTTTTGTATCATTGGATATCATGTTAAAAAGCGATAAATAAAACTTTTGTGAAAATGAAGCTTTCAATTTTTTTACTTGTTGAATCCTTTTTTGCGTCACTTCTCCGATCATAGCTGCCTGAATAAAACGATTGTTAGGTCAATTTTTTTTTCTGAGCTTTCGAAGCTTTTATTTACTGCTTTGCCTTGAAATGTACGAAATTGCATTTACAAAAGTTTATAAAATATGGAACTATTTGATCCAGTTATAATACCGTGCTCTCCAATTATAAACCTCTTTCGTGCAATCGCTTTTCTAGTAAATATCTGTGTGAAACTGGCAAAAAAACAGCGTAAAATCAGAATCAAACGCTTTTGCTAGGAATCAAAATGAATAATATAGAGAATTAATGCCAAACGATGCGGTCAATTCTTTACATTATTTATGAGTGATGACGGTTCTGGAAAAATCGAGAGAATGAACTCATTGATTTTTTTAAAATCACTGATTCCTTTTACTTTCACTCGTTTCAGAGAAACTTTTGGTTGTAGAGCAAGCAGTCCAAACTGACTTGGCTTTTTTTTTATTATGCATATCTGAAACACGGGTTAAGGGCCATCTGTAAAATGGCTTCAATATCGCAACTTGTTCTTTATAGCATTTTTGGATGGTATCTGTTATAATACAACACTAATAATGGTACTAGTGAAGATACTAATCCTCAATAACGTTATCATTACAGTCACTATCATGATCATTGCTTTCTTCAGTATTATGAATGTGTGAAAAGATTTCGTGAATCTTTTAGAATTGAAAAACTTTTCGTTTTTTAGCATCAAGTTTACAGCACTTTTCATCTCATCAATCGAGAATTCAATCACATATTGTGGAACCGTTCTCTTCTTCATAGTGACTTCCCCCATTTTCGATCTAACAGCAAATAAAATAACTTCATTAGCATTTTCATCTTTCATGACTGTTTTATTATACAACACAACAAGCATTTATATCAGAAGTTTGCATAGCATCATTGAGTCAAAATAAAATTTCATTCGAATCATCCTACCACTGGAAAATAACAAAGATGAGAATCGAACATTTCTCATAGGAATATTTATGCAGTTTAATATATTTTGTTTTCTGGTTTGTTGTTCGGAAAGAAAAAGTAAACTAAACAGACAGTAATCTACTAAAAACTCTCAAAATTTTCTAATCATTGAACTACACAGATAAATTTCGTTATAAAAATTGTATAAGAGGTGGACCATTATATCTGTACATATATCACCATATTTTCTTGAACGAGAGTACTTAAACGAGTAATGGTGATGAAAAATACCTGTCACAATTATATTAAGAGTGGATTATTAGTCCAAAAATTATTCAGTTTTAATCATCTGTTGTTAAATGAAAACTGTAGAATCAGGTACTCTAAAAGTGTTCAATTCTAGCATACGATACAATCTTTAAATGCTGACTTTTTTAATGTCTATCTTCTTATTTATGTTTATTTCACTTTCTTTCACAACATCGTTGTGATAACTATTACTTCTCTCTATCTCAATCACGTTGCTTAATAATTGGGAACAACAGAGGTAACCATTTTATGACTTTACTCATGTTGAAGTTTTCAGTGAGAAATAAAATGATTAAGGAAATAGCCCCTAAACATTTTACATAAACTCTGTCTGTAATTTCTTTTTCCAAGGTTACGTGAATCAACCATTTCGTTGCAGGCATCTTTGAAATAAGGATGATTAGATCAACCAAATGATTTCATGGTACAAATCTTATTACATGTCAGGGAAGTTCGGAAGACACCCAACTGTTGCAATTTTCAAGGACAAGTTAATTCCTAGTCAACTAACTGATCGAACCTGGATTTCTGTAGGGAAAGCGACAAGATGACAGTGATTAGATAGAACTGTTTCGA